CCAGGCTGAATGCCCCATCTGCTCAAAGCAATCTGTTCAGCCTGGCTTTTTTGGAAGCAGCTGGTTACACTGCGTTCTCCCACTGACAACTTTTGGATCAGGAGAAGAGCCAGTGCACTTTTAATGGCTCCATCATTCTGCTCCACATGACCTTCAGCTTCTTCTCGTTCTCTTTCTTCTTTTGTCGCTAGCCCCCTCTAAAGGTATTGCATTGCTTTTCTAATGAGCCAAGAGGAGCTGCAAAGATAATGAATGATGACAGGCGATTGGACGCTTGAATATTGAATACTGGAGTGGTCTCATTTTTCAAGACATGGACAGGTCACTGGGCCAAACAGCTTGTGTCCTTCTGCAAGAACAAAACTCCTACGGTTGGCCTCTAAACTTACCACAAAGTGTGTTATAGCCAAATGCCACCTCATGTGTTTTGTTCAGGGGTATCCAGCCCACCATAACATTTCTGTAGGGCAAGAAAATGTCCAACCCAGCAGTTCGCTACGGCTCTCCAGCCCACTGCCCCTTTAGGGGCCCATCGCACCGGCTTGACAGTTTATGAAATCATCTGACCGTTTCCCTAGCCCACCTCACAATCTGCCATTTCTCTAGCCACCAGACAATCCTTCTAGCGCCGATTGAAGATCAGTTCACATGATGAGCCATGATGAACCCCAGAGCTTAACTATTGTTTAGTTTTTCACCGGCTACTGCCCAGCCCGCATGAAGTCATGTCAAAGCAAGCCTTAGGCAGTTTCTCTCTTGAAGCTGCTATCTCCACCATGGTACGGAGACTGCATTCACATGATCCTTTCTAATCAACATCTTCTGGATCATCTTTATGACTTTGCTGCCCTTCTTCTTTCTTCTCTTTTGCATCTTTGACCTTTGGCTTGGCTGCCTGCTTCAACTCTTTGGCCAAGCTTGCCTTCAGAGCCTTTAAGGCTTAGTGCTGCCTGTGCCAAATGTTCTTCGCTTGCTCCATCTTGCACTTCCTGCCACCCTGCACCTTCCGAATCTCACCGCGCTGACTTGCCATCGCTTTCTTCTCTGCATCTTTGATGGTTACTTGTAACTTCTTCTTGTTCTTTGGGTCTGCTGCCTTCTTTTCCTTTTTCATAAGGAAGATCTTGTTCTCCATTCCACTGATCCCCTTCTGCAACGCAGTCTAGAACTTCTGCAGCCTCTCTTCCACAATGTCACTGCTATCCTGGCTGCCCGCTTGTGAGAGCTTTTCCCATATGTTGTCCTTCTGCTCTTGCTTCTCATTCTTGTTTTGGGTCGTTCTTCTCTTTGATGCCCAGGCGGCAAGGAATTTCTTCTCATTCTTATTCTCTACACAGCTGGCATCCTTGTGAGCTTGCGAAACTCCAAGAATCTTCTGCCTTGATTTCAGCTCCTGTGCCATCGCAAAACTTCATGTGAATTCATAAGACTTAATGAAACATCATGGATCTTCATTTCATGGACATTCACGGCTCTTCATGTTTTCCCACATGTGACTCTATAAAGATTCATGAAAATTGACAACCTGGGGCTCTCCACCAGGCTCATTGTTTGATAGGGCTGTCCAGCCAACCATCTCATGGCAAGCCTCATTGCTAGCGCATGCCTTTTGGGCTGTCCAGGTCCACTTATGACATGGCAGCATTTGTATTTCATGTTTTGATAGAACCTCCGTGTGGTGCATCTGTTGTAGCGGATCTGTTGCGCCCAAGGCTACTGTGCCAGTCTCTAGCAAAATGCCAAGACTATCTTGATCTGCCTAGCACTATTGTATATATCTAGCAAAAACCTACTCTCTCAACATTGATTGGCATGGCTTGTCCACAGCTCAGCACTGATATGCGCTGTTGTTCTCTAGCGCTGCAGCCTTTTTTGTTCTCCTCTCTCTGATGGGCTCGCCAGTTACCCTCTTTGTGCTTGATGTAACGCACCCCAGCTTCTGGAAGCAGTTGTCCTTTCTCCTCCTATTGCCCGTTGCTGTAGCACATCGGAATCCTGCATCCTGCGCAGGTCCACTCATCATATCGGTAGCTTCCCTATCTGAACTGGCAATCTCGGCGCGCGCTGGTTCTGCAGCCGTGGTCGTAGTCGAAGAACTCTGTCCTGAGATGGGTCCACAAACGCAACTAAAATTTAGCTAACACCTAGTTTGAAACAGGCTGCCCACCACAAACCAGAACAACATATACAATGTCACTAAACATTGTTCAAATCAGGCTGGCCCACACTAATCACACGCAAAGTAAACCACACAATATCTAAGTTGATGGGAGGGTCCACTGTTGGTTCTTCTCCAGCCAGTCGATCACTGCAATTTGCCGTCTCTGCTATTCTCTCTCCGCAAAGGACTGGCTTCCAGTCCACTCTTCCAACTCTGCTTGCTGCTGCTCCTTCTCATTGTCCTTTTTCTCAGCCTCCTTCTTCTCAGCCTCCTTGCTCCTTCGCTGCCTCCTCCTTCTCTCCCATCTGAATCCTTTTGCTCCTCTTGCTTTCTCATCAGTTCAGCCCATGTTACATTCTTCTCCTAGCTGCTGCTGCTGCTGCCACGCTCATCTTGTTGCATTTAGGCATCAACCTTCTCTAAGAACTCAAGAGTCTGGATGGCTTCCAGTTTTCACAATTCTTCCTAGCTTCTCTGGCCGTTTGTTAGTTCTGAAGCCACCTGCTTCTCCTCCATGGTGACCACTCGCACTTGGCTCTACAACTCAATTCTTCGGCTCTGCAAAGCACCGCGCTGCTCTTGCAGCTCTGCCGCGTTGATTGCTGCCTCTTTCGCCTCTTGCAATGGCTGCGCAACCTTCTAAATTCCTTCTTTGCCAAACGGAAGTGCATCATGTGTTGCGCTGTCTCTTCGTGCCATTGCTCTGTTTCATCCCCCTCTTCAGTGTCCATGCCACTTGGGCTGTGTTGGGGCTCTCTCTCAACCCCGGCTTTGTCCCAGGCTTGCATGAAATGTAGCTCACTGCCACTCTTCCCAACTAGCACTGTCGAAAACTCCTTGACAGCCTGATCCTCCAGCTCTCTGTGCCCCCTCATGACATACACGCTGAAGCTCTCATCTTGTCATCCTTGGGAAGGGCTAGACGCCGTGGCGCATGAGCATGTCTTCGCAATTCTTATGTAGCATGTCATACCAGGCGTTCTGCTCTCCAATGTCCCGTCCGCTCTGCGTTCAAGCACCGTAACTCTCAAGTTTTTCCTGAACATGGCTGCATCCAGTGCTCCTTTTTGGGAGCGCGTGCCACCACCCTTTCCTGCAAAGGCAGAAAACCAACGGGGCTTCACCAAGGGCGCCTCATCTCTCTGCCTCCCTCCGCCCAGCTCTCTGACAACCATTTGGGCCAGCCTCCCACTCTACTTCAATAGCAGTCCATGGCTTTCTCTGGCAAAAGCGGGTTCTCTAAAACTCCAATCTAGCTACTTTGTCTTAGATTGCGACGGCAAAATTAAATTCGAAGTTATGGGGCTGTCCAGCCCATGCCACTGGAAGCTCAGCGGGAATAGTCAAAAATGAGCTTCTTAGTGGCAAACTATTTGTAGGCTTTTCCCAAAGGGCTGTCCAGCCCAACCAATGACTAACTACATGCAAGCATTCCCAGGCTTTGCCGTAGATATTCTTCTTGTCCATCTTGAGGGCCTTGGCTTTCCTGGCGGGTGTCTTGTCTTTCTTGGCTGCAGGTCTCTTCATCTTTGCTACACACTTCTAGATTTGCGCATCACGCCGGTCATGCTAATCTTCTTTGCATCGATCTTTTCATTCCGCTACGACGGTTCTCCATGGTAGTGTGGCCTTGGCAAAACCTGCACGGGTTGCAGACCTGAGCGCCAGGGCAACCTCTCTCCACCTTGGACATCTGCCGGGCTCTGCGCGTTCACGTTGAGGCTCTTCCGCATCTTTCTCAGCCTCCGTCCATCACTCACCCTTTGCCGAAGCCGGCGATGACAGCACCCCTCACTCACCTCTGCCTTGCTGACCGCGTCCGTGTTGGCCTTCTCGATCTTCGGTTTCTTCTCCAGCCTGGCAGTCTTGCATTCTTCGGCAACCCTTTCCGTGGCCCTGCGCCGTCTCGACCTTCTTTGCTGGTGTCTTTGAGGCCCTCTTTTCTTGCTGGTGGAGGCAATGCCTCCTTTGCGCTGCACGCACCCTTTCCGTTTCAAGCCCTCCTTGAATTTGGATCAGGCCCCCCTCTTCGTTTCACAGCTCGATCCTTGCTTACGTTCGAAATCGTGAGCTTCACCTTTGCAGTTCGTCTTCGGGCGGGAATTCATCTTTGGACAATTCGTCGTCGTAATTCGTCTTCGTCTGCAGGTGGACAAGTGGAACCCCCCCAGCGGCAGCGATGCAAAAAAAAACAAGGTTAAAACCACCCAAACGTCCAAGCCACAGATGGGGATAAGCGGATTCACGAGGGTGAGGCACCCGAGTGGAGAATACATTTCAATCATGGAACGCAGCACATGATTCACAGAGCAAGAGGCAAGGAAATCTCAATATCGCACCTTCACTGCGGGCGTTGGAAGAAACCACCACTAACAACGGGCCCCTTGTGATATGCTTCATTTTGCAAATTGCAAATCGCTTGCAGGGCGGATGAAAGGAGCCACGAGGATTCCTGAACCGCAAATCCAAGAAGTGGAAGCCACAAAGCACGGTCAGGGTCCTTTTGAACTTTTAACTGAACTTTCCGGAGCCCTTCAAGGGCCTGCATCAATCCAAGAAGTGATTCTTCATAGCATCAAATGTATGGGAACTGGACATCCAACTCAAGGGAGTTTAGATTACAACTCTCTCGAATGGCACCATGATTCACCATGTTTGATCCATTCAAAGACATCACCCCATGTGTGAGCCCCTGTAAATCGCCAGCTTGTGCGACAGCAAATGGTGAGTGTCGGCTTGCGAAACACAGGAGCCCAAAATGAACATCCATCGGAACACCTCGGAGTACAAAAACGGGGGGCAAGGTTCCTCAACGGTTCCCGAGCGTGTTGCTGAGTGCCTTGAGGCGGTTCATGCGGTCCTTCATCTCCAAGGAGTCTGGCACTGCCAGCAGCGAGCGGTGCCCCAAAGCCCGGGGGCCAAACTCCTGGCTTCCGCCGAGGGTGGGGGACAGAAGGGAAACTTGTCGGTGTTGCGAGCTTGGAGAAAAAGAAAATTCTCTATTGATTCAATTATGTGTATATGAAAGTACATATATCTATAAACAAGTTTATACCTCATCAAAGGGTGCCCCGATGAACTTGAGTACCCACAAGCTGCGGTTAGCTCGACGGTTTTCTTACACCAAGCACTATTCGAAGTCCAGGAAGGAATTCCCCGCCAAACCGACCTGCTCGCAGCACGGCTGAAAATGCGAACAGAACCCAAAAAACTAAAAGCCTGTTCTTCTCTGGTCGTGCGAGCTACGGTCAAAGCATGCTCTCGCCGTGACGGACGCGAGAAAACCAGTCATCGGGAATGACCTAAGACTTTTTGTGTTCACATCCTGTTTCACAGAAGGTTTGCCTGATTCGGGCAAATGGTGCGCGGGGTGGGGGCTGCTTCTGGCAAAGCGTCCCTAAGAAGGCAAACAACCACTGCGAACTCCACTGCGAGGGGTGGCCAGGTCACCGAAGGCTTCAAACTAGACAGAGGCCCCAGTGACAATGCGCTGTTTCTGGGTAAGTTTCGTTTGTGGCCCCTCTGCTTTGCAATTTAGTTTGTTGAACGCTCAAAATTGGCAGGTCTGTGGCTTTTTGCGAAAGCCGCCAGCAAAAACCACAACCTGAACTCACACGTCGCGTCGGCAACTTGCTCCCTCCCTCGAACAATCGTAGGGTCTGGCAACAACTTTTGGACGTTCCCAGATCCTGGCCTTAGACTGCTGGATCTTAATGCGTTTCCTTCGTGGTCCGGGTGATTTAAGGCAACAATCTCTCAGGATCTGGCACCATCCAGAAATCGTTGCCAGATTCTGTGCAACATGCTGCAACCGACAATGCGCACCGCCGCTCCGCCAAAACCTATTGAAACTCACTGACATATATACGTTCCCACGTGCAAGCGACGGGCGCCTCGCAGACCCAAGAAAGACATATCCCCCGACCTTGTTCTACATTCTTAAGGAGCCCCCGCCCCCCCAGCCCGTCCTGGCGGCCTCGCACCACCGCCACCACAGGCCGCTCTGGGCGTACCAGGAGCTGCGCCAAGTAGTCCACCCCTCCCACAGACGACAAAGGCACCGCGCCCCAGGCAGCGGCTGCGGCCTCCAAGCCATCCTCATCCTCGGAGAGCGACCAGCCGTTTGTTGCAACAATGATCATCCGAGCAAGCAACTTGGAAGCATTCCCTTTTCGGGTATGCCAGTTGCTTGGCTCCACATTCATGTGTGAAAGGGCCGTCATTTCCTTCAATTCGGCCATTGAACCACGCTGCCTTTTTGCAGAGCTACCACTCAGCCAGCAAAGGGTTCGGGCGAAAAAAAGGCGCCGTTCAGCCAAATCACCCAGAGCTTGAACCCGACCTTGGCTGCTCGAGGCTGGCACCTGTCAGCCTGAACGCCTCACTCGCAACGCTGCGCCACGCAAAGCGGAATCTGGCGAGCTAAGCCCCAAACAGCCAAGAACATCCAGGATTTGCAAACTGCAAGTGATCAGGCTCAAGTGAACAACTTCAAAAAGCATACAGGTTGCCACTGCTTGAAAACAGGAGCTGGAAGACACACCTTCTTGACTGGTCTGGGGCAATCACATGATCAACATGGCAGCGCGCAAACATGGATTCGTGAGCAATACTTGGGCACTCTAGCTCATTGGCCTTGGCCGTGGGTTTCTCTGCGGTGGGGGCGGGGTGAGGCAGGCGGGGCGGGGGGGGTTCTGTGTGTACTGAGAATTAGGACAGAACAGAGAGAGAGAGACAGACAAAGAGACAGAGAGACAGACAAACAAAGAGACTGAGAGACAGAGAAGACAGAGAAGACAAGCAAACAAAGAGACAGAGACAGAGAAGACAGAGACAAGACAGGGCGGACAGAGAGACAGAGACAAAGAAAACAAAGAGACAGGGCAGACAGAGAGACAGAGACAGAGACACACAGAGACACAGAGACAGACAGACAGACAACAACGGGGCACTGTAGGTGTACCAATACTTGCTTGCATGTTTGCTTAGGGGCACTGGCTGGCATCGGCCCGCAATTGCGCCGGCAGCGCAGGCTTTTCTCACAAGGAAGATGTCAACGAACGGAGCGAGCGCAGCCTACGCCGCATCCGGCTGGCAGATAGGACATGTTGGAAGCGACCAGGCTGCCAAGTTGGCACCATTGTGCGACAGACGTGTCAGCTGGTTTCGATATTTGGAGCTTATTTACGCATCACTTCGGTAGAACCATCAACAGTGGGGACCTCTCTTCTCCAGATCAACATTAGGGGCGACGCACTCTTATACCTAGAGTTGCTAGACAACGCTCCTAGCACATAGGGCCAGGAGGAGAATCAACCACGAAGTCAGTGACAAGGCAGTTGGGGTTCGAATCCTGTGGGGTGACCACTACCCTCGGTTGTGAAGCCGTGAAGTAGGGGTCGGTGTAAATAGGGGGTGTAAGGATAATATGGTCTGCCTTGTCTCACAACCGCCTGCAACAGCGGAGCACGTACCATTTGCTTCTTCACGGAGTTCCGTTGGATATTTGTCTTGAACCACTTATCAAGAACTTGAGCCAAAGCATCCATATGCATGAGTCGCCTGTTCACACAACAACATCCCCGCAAAGGTTCGAGGGACCTTAAAGGAGGGGACAAGAACAGGGTGACCCTCAGAGCCTGCCCTTGGGATTTTGGCCTGTGGCCCGGAAATTCTTAGCATCCCCCATCCTGGGCTCGGGTTCATCCCGGGGTCAGGAACCATTCACAACTACATGCCGACATGCATGGACACGCGGCTTTTCTATTCAATTCTGTGAAACGTCGTCTCTGCACGAGTTTGACCGGGTTCTGTATACTTAACAGGAAACGAGATGCTACAGGCCGCATACCAGACCTCGTGTGCATCGATGCACACGCAGCAAACGAACACCCATGACGAGCATAGTCCACCACCAATTTGTAACCAGTAATGATTTTTAGCATCGACTACTCATTGACCACCAAATCCCTGGCATCTCCAGAATAGCAGTCACCGATAACGATACTGTACGGAAACAGAAATGTTCTGTGGTGACAAACGCAAGTCTCATGCAAACATTTGGGATTGATCATGGTACCATGGACGATGAATACCACGATCCCAATGTGAAATGAAACCCCTTGCGCAAAGCCTTGACTTCACCTTGGTGGTACGGTCAGGCATACGCTTCCATTTCCGAACCCAGCGTGGGTCCACCACTATCGTCTCACTAGTGAGAGAATCCAGATAGACCTTGCGAAAGGCCTTCTCCTCGACAAACTGCCGTATCTCCGCCAGGTCCGCCGCTTCCACCTGTGGCCAGATACTGTAGAGGTCAGAATCTTCGATGGTGTCTGCCTCCACATCCACTCTGAAAATCTCGGCCTCTCTCAGGTCTGCCAAAACTTCACCGTCGTACTTGTAGTGCATGTGAAAAAGCGCCGGCAGTTCCTTCCTCATCTCCTCACCTGCTGGTAGTAGGCCATGGTTCTGTCCTCGGCAGCACCTTTGGCATTATCCATGTTCACGTCATCAGTGTCCATAGCCTGACTTGGCTGTGTTCGTGGGACAGGAGGTCTTTGTGCTGGTGATGTGCTCGATGGCTCTTCTTCCGTAGTAGTGGCCTGGTAGTAGTAGAGGTAGATGGTGCATAGATCGTCCAACATATGGCCGGAGATCCTTTTCAGGCGAATGTGCGTCTCGTGGGTGTTCTTGTGCTGCGTATTCTATTCCACCTTTGTTCAGGTGATCAAGGCTCCTGTGGTGCCATGCGGTGGATGGAAAGCCCGCAAAGCATGGCCCATTACTGCGCCTCCAAGCTGTTGGACCGTCATGGCAGCGCATACTGCCTGCAGCTATTTCCACAACATTTCAACCTTGCCCAGGTCGATAGGTGACGTGATCCACTTGCCATTCTTCTTGCGGATATGGCCCACGATCTGTGCCTTGTGAGGTGCCATGTCATCCGTCACCTGTGCCAGGATGTCATCCGTCTCGACACAAGGAATGCTGACCATGTAGATGCCAACGAATGGTCGGATGGCACCAGGTATGGTCGCCCCTGGTACTGTAGCACTGCTGCACTGTCCGAATTGTCTAACCGTAATAGCAGCGCCGGTCCTCGCCATCCAACGTCATTCCGTTCTGCACCTCGCGGTAAAATTCCATCTCTGACGTTCCTGCCACCAGTTGATTCACTGGAAGTTGTTGTGGTCGTGTTCGATTGGCCCGAGCTATCCGGTCCTCGATGACCGACTGCTGCACTGCCGACAAGGATATCTGTCGCATCCTCAGAGCCTTCTCGTACACAGACAGATCCGTCTGCAGTGCTCCCGTTGTGGCCATCAATCGGGTGGAGTCTTCCTCGTAGAAACCTCTGGGTAGAATACCAAATACCGCCATTGCAGGAGTAACTCCACCATAGCTCATTGTCTGATTGGCTGCCATGGCTGATTCCGCCGCCAACCAGTCGTTCTCGACATTACTGCCTTGCCGGTTGAGCTCGGCCTTGATCTTCTGCATCGTCAGCTTCTGCAGGCCCACATGGCGTTCCACCAATCCGGTACCAGTGTGTTGTTCCGCTCCTTGCCCGGCTGTAGTTCCTTTCACGTCCTTGGCACGCCTAGTCGTTCGAACTCCGTGCCATCAGAGATGCTTGCTGGTCCATCGTGATCTGGCACGGTGGCTGGCTTTCCGGAGGAACGGTGCATGGGCGAAGCTCACTGCGAACTCCGAGGACCCTCATGTGGTCCTTGAAGATGTCCCGGTAGATCGCGATCAGCACGGTGTCTTCCATCCAGTGCTTGTAATGCAACCCCCAGTTAATCCCCCACATGGTAGAGATCGTATTGGAAATGCTTGATCACCAGTGCGACGACGTTGTGATCGCCTTTCTACCCGCCCTCCATCGGAACCTTTCTGGCAGAGATTGTGGCGTCTCCTCGGTCCGATTGATCTTCTCGATGTAGCGCGATGATAGAACCACTGATGTCAACCTCTTTGGCACTTTGTACGCAAATTATGGCAGCAAGGTTGATCTTCAAGAACTTGCGTCCAATACTCACATCTGTTCGGTAGAAGGTCATGTAGTCGCAATTGGGGCCAAGGGCAATGCATCGGAAGACCGTATCACTTACGAAGGCGGTGTCCTTCTGTTGATTGATGCCTCTGAACTGCTCAGCCTTGACGCCAAGGACATTGCCTGCGGTCCAAATCCGATACAGCAAGTGTAGCCCTTTCAGCTTCAGGGACCAATAAAACGTCTCTTCATCCCTGTGATTCGCACTTTGGAATCTCACGTTCTTGAATCTGGGAGCAGCGACAACCTCGTCGTACGTGGGCGGAACAGGAATGTTCTCCTTGTCCACTTCGGTGAAAGTCCAGTCATCCCTCCCATTGATTGCAATGTAGGGACAATAGATTCCGCACCTTTGTCTGCTTCCTTGACTAAGTCTGCTTCGTTGTTGGCAAACACCTTCCACATCTTGAAAAGTATGATGCCAATGAAGCCGGAGAGGTATGATGCCTCGTTGGACTCGTCGACGCAAATTGCCTTTGACTTGCAAGAGATGTATTGCGTCCGCGTCCTCCTCGGGCTTGTCAGGACAGACTCCCATTTCATCCTCGCCGGTGTCCGTCCCGATGTCGGAGGGGATGTACGACCTGTCTGCGGATCGTCCCTCGCTCATCTCGTTGGTGTCGGGTCGGTCTTCCTCGGCGACGATTCGCTCAGCATCCTCCTTTGCCTCACGCTGAGCTTGCTTCACTTCCTCCGTCGCCCTGGTGGTGTCGGATGCTTTGGGCTCGTCCTCGCGGTAGACAATGAACCTGCTGAGCAAGTCCCTGATCTCGACCAACGATTTGTTCAACAGCTCGGGCACCTCGACGTTGATGCATGCCATGACGACCATCTTCTTCAGGATCTCGGCGTCCGCGGAGTCCTCGTCGTCCAAGAAGCTGTTGAGGTTTCCAAGAAAGTCCGCTGGGGTCACGCCCACAGCGTCCTTGAATCCTGGACAGATCTCGCTCTCGACTACGCGGGAGTTAGATCCGCTTGACGTCTTTGACAGGTCCTTTCTTCACAGACTTGAAGCTCCAGATCGCCCTGATCTCTTTGAAGGGAATGGTCTTAAAGGCGACAATCGCCCCACCCGATGTGACCCCTGACTGGTACACGGACAATTTCCTCGTTGGCACGTAGATGGCGATGAGGTCATCTCCCTCTTTGACGTCATGCAATGCAGTCTTGGTCGAGATGTTCTCGCTGTGCCAAATTGCAAACACTCCGAAGTGTACCGCCAACCTTCGTGCACTGTCATTGCCACCTGGAACAATGCCCCGCATAATGATGCCTTCCAGGGC